ATATGAGAAAATGGAAAAATAGGAACAAAATCTTTGTAAATAGGGAGGAATGGAGGGGTTGAAGGGAAGGCTGGGCAAGGGAGAAAAATAAGAACTAAGAGAGATTATGTAAAGGTGCAAATTTCCAATGATGAATGTCATTATATTGTATACCTAAAATGTACCAATGATTAGAATGAATAATCAATAATGTAAAATAGGAAGAAAAGGCCCAAAGGCGTAGGGGTAGTGGGAAGGTCAGAGGAAAGGAAAGAAGGGAAAGGAAAAATGATGAGAAATGGAAAAAATGGAAATAAAGTCTTTGTAAGTAGGGAAGGGTCGAAGGCGTGAAGGGAGGGCTAGGAATGGGGAAAAAAGAAGAACCAAGATGCATTATGTAAAGGTAGAGTTCCCAATGAGAAATGTAATTGTGTTGTGTACCTACAATGTACCAATAACAGAATTTAATAATAAATAAATAAATAAATATAAATAAAGTACAAAAATAGACCCACAAAATGATGGCCAACTGATTTTTACACAAAAGTATAATGTCAATTCAATGGAGAAAATACAGTCATTTTAACAAATTATGCTGGAAAAACTGGACATTCCCACACCAAATACACCTCACAACATATACAAATTTAACTCCAAATAGATCATACTTAAATGTATAACTATAAAAATCTTAGAAAAAAAGCATAGGAGGTAACTCATTACCTTGACTGAGGCAGAGTTCTTAGATATAACATTAAAGACACAAAAGGAAAATATTTTCAATTAGACTCCAATAAAACTAAAAACATTTGATCTGCAAAGAACATTGTTAAGAAAATAAAAAGATAAGCCACTGACTGGGAGAAAGCATTTGCAAGAGACATATCTGATGAAGAACTTATTTCTGTAGTATGTTAAATGTGCTGAAAGCTCAAAATTAAGAGAAAAACCCAAACATGATAAAAAATAGGCAAATAAATTGAATGCACACTTTATTTAAAAAAATATTTGCAAATAACAAATAAGTCCACGAAAAAGAAGATCAACATCTTTACTTATTAGGAAAATGCAAATTAAAACAATAAAATGATTCCATCATATGCATTTTAGAATGGGTAATTTTTTAAAAAATATTGTGACAATATCAAGTACTAACAAGAATGCAGAAAATTGAAACCCTCAGACATTTCATATGTATGACATTTTAGAAAAGGCAAAAATACAGGGAGAGAAAACACATCAGTGGTTGCCAGAGTTATGACTGAGGGGAGGCTCTGCATTCTAGGATGACTGTTATAGATTCTATGCATGTCTAAAAGCTCACAGTTCTGTACACCAAGCAAACACTCAATTTTATTGCATTTACATTTTAAAACTAAAGCAGGGCTGGAGTATAGCTCAGTGGCAGAGTGCCTGCCTAGCATTCACAAATTTTTGGATTTGATCCTCAGCACCTCATACACCAAAAAAAAAAAAAAAAATCAAGTAAAAAACAAAACTCTCCTCTCATGTTTCTCTCAAACTTCTTATACCCTCCTTCCTCTCTTCTGCCATGAGAAATATCCTTAAGACAGTATCTTCCAAAATTTTGCTAGATTTTCCCTTGACCATTCCATAAATCTACTTATTGATCATGGAATCTATCCATTACTTGGCTGATGACCATGTATATGCTTATAAATTCTGAATATCTGTCTCTAGCCCAGCACTTTCTCCTGAGCTCCATACTTGAATAACAAAGTGGCTTTCAACTTCTCTCTCAAAAATATCCATTTCTTCTTTTGCTTTTTCTTCACTCTTCCCCATCTAATTAATCACCAATGTTTTGATTTTAATTCCTAAATATATCTGGAAGGTGTATATTTTTCTGTTTTAATTACCATGAACTCTAGATCACATGTCATCTATGCAGTAGCCTCATAACTGGTCTTTCTGTCTCCAATTTTGTTCCGATTCCAATACATTCATCTATAGTGCAACTAGAATGATGAAAAACTCAAAATTTGTTCATGGTTCTTCTGTTGCTCTTAGCATAACCATAACTCCTTAAAAAGGTTTACAAGTCCTTTTATGATCCAACACTTATTCATCTTTCCAGCCTCATCTTTCGTTATTTTCAACTCTGACCATTCCCCTCCACCCCCCTTATCCTACACTCTATGCTTGAACCACACCCTGCTTCTTTCAGTCTCTCAAACATGTGCCTACTCTTTTCCATGACTTCAATGCTTGCTTAGCAACTTCCCACTTCTTCCACCCCAACTCCCCTTCCTAAGCTAGCTAGATAATATTTAGCCTCCAGGTTTCACATTCCACATCATTTATTCATCGTTGACTAACCCCCACAACTGATCTATATTTAGGTCCCTTCTGGGTACTACCATAATACTATGAAAGATACTTTTACTGTGTATAGTAATAGTCTATTTAGTTGTCTGTCTCCCACACTGGATTGTAAACTCTTTCAGGGTAGTAATTATGTCTTGATCATATTTTAGTACCAGCTCCTAGGGTACAGTGCATGATAAATAAATATTCATTAAATATTTTTTGGATGAATGGATAAGAAGAGAGATGAAAAACAGTCTGTGAGATAATAGGCCATTATTTTTATTCATGCTTTTTTATATTTTCCAAGTATTCTATGATGAAATGTGTTGTTTTTATAACCAGAGGATAATAATACATGTTAGAATTAATTTTTAAAACTATAAGAAGCATACTCATAATAAGAAAAAGAGACAAACAATATGAAGAAAATTAAAATCACTCATAATCCTACCACCTAATGGCAATGAGTTAACATTTTTGTATCTTTTCCAGTATTTTTATGGGTATATTTTTATATATTGAGATCCTATTGTGTTCTGTTTTAAATTGTTTTTTCTTTCAGTAATACCAAAAGACTTACCCATTACACCAAGGATCTGTTGCTTATTGAACCATTTTTCTGCTGTCCAACATTAAGATTTTATCTGATTTTTCACTGTTATGAATAAGACTATGGATAATATTGAACAGAAATCTATTCCCTCATTGTAACCATTTCTGTAGGATAGAATACTAGAAGCCAAATTACTGTTATGAACTTGTATGTGGCTGAATTGTTTTCCAAAGAGTTTATACTAATAATAGCTACTTGAGTGCCTACTATATTCTTTTCCTTCAGGTAGATTTTATTATGCTTCTTCTACAGATTAGAAAACTAAGGTCCATTTTGTTATGTGGCAGAGTTACTGAAATATAAAGTGGCAAAGCTAGAATCTAAATTCAGAATTGTTCAGTTTTGAAGCTCGTATTATTTCCATATAGATTTCTCAAATAAACATTTTTGAATTACCAAATTATTATCTATTTATAGAAATGCAAAAAATACAATTAGAAAGTATTGAAAATAAAAATAAATTAATCATAAGTCCACCACTTTCGACAATTTAGTGAATTTAATATTTTTAATTCCATACACAATTTTTTATTTGAAAATAGCTATAACATTTGGGGGTGGTGGCACATGCCCTGTAACCCCAGCTACTCAGGAGGTGAGGCAGGATGATAAGAAGTCAAGAGCAATTTAGCAAAACTCTGTTTCAAAATTTAAAAATAAAAGGGGCTGGAGATGTAGCTCAGTGGTAGAGCAACCCTGAGTTCAACCTCCAGTGTATATATATTTCTACATACTGTCCTCTTTTTTTCACTTATTTTCAATACTATTTCTTATCCTTTGTGAACATAATTTTTAACTGTTACATATACCTTGTGAATATTTACAGTTGTTCAGCTCACCCATGAATTTCTTTTTTTCATTCCCAGGACCCACTATCTCCTATGAGACTTACAGAATTCAATGTTGGAAATCATTCTAATCTTCAAAACAAGTCACCATGTTGGATTGAAATCTTCACAAATTGAAAGCATTTCATCAAATACTTGCTGTGCAGGTGTTTCAGGACTTTACAAATTAATTTACTGACTAAATTCCAGTTTAGCAACACTTTTAAGCTAGTTTCTCTTTCTTTCTTGCCCTTCTCTCAATCCATGCAAGCCATGTAAAATATATATCTTTACATTCATCTCTTCGGCTAAAAGGGAACTTAGAAGATTTCTTTTGAGACTGAATTCTCCTAGAAAGACTATCATATCTGAAGTGTCTATTTGGTATTGAGGGGAATTGGGATACATTTGCTGCTTGTGTGCATGTGCATTTATGAACATGTATTTTGCAGCTTAGCTATATAAAATTCCACCATAATGTCATGAAAATTAAGGTTAAAAACAAAGGCTTTTAGTTAATCATGCTTTTCCCCTAAATAGAAATATATATATTTGCTGCGCTTTGAGCCTTCCCTATGTCAGATATGTAAAATTTCAGAGGAAGATTCAATACACTGTGACCAAAGTCCTCAAACAGAATTTTCACAGAGGCTCTTGAAAGCACTATAGCTAATATACAAGATCAAATCAGATCAGATTAAATTTTTACTTCTTTAAACATAACAGTGTTTTAAAGACTTCTAATGCCAGGAAGTGGTAAAATTCTCCAATTATTTTTATTCATTCCTCTGCTGTCTATCTTTATTTTAACCTTTATGTATTACTTTTATGATGAAAGAAAGACAATAAGCCTTTATAAAAGGTTTTAAAGGTGATTTTCAGGTTTAATTACAATACTGTTCAAAGGAGTAAAGTTTCACAGCTGACATTAGCTGAGGATTAACAAAAGATCTATGTTTTTACAGCGGGAGTTAATGTACAGAAAGTGATAACTGAACAGTAGTATGTCAATCCTTTTTATAAGCCTTAATGGCAGCTCAGCCATTAAGATAGTTTATATCCATTTCCCCATTTATTTATAATCAGCTTTTCTTTCAGTCCCAGTGCCTGAATCAATGAGTATGGACACTAATGATGCCTCTTTATAATAATACCTAAGAGTATTGATGTTTTTCTCATTTCAACCAGCGCTGTAGTGCCCAGCTGCTGACAATAAAAGCCCCAACTCTTACAGAGATCAGTGGAAGTTAGAACCATCTTACAGATATTAAAGAATTGAGCCTCTAGTGGGATGGTTTGATTTACTAAATTATCCTTCCTGAAATCTTTTTGAATAAAAAAGTGTTAGTTGCCTGCCACAGATTAGTCAGTGTTAAGGCTCCAGTGCATCTGAGAAAGTGAGCAATCCAACTACTTAAAGCCAATAGCAAAACCTGTTTGTTTGGACCCCATAGGTACTTTTGACCAAAGTGAGACTTTTAGCATAAAATAAATGGATTTTGGTTAGAATTTCATTTGAGAGAATACTACACATGACCAAATCTCTTAGGACCAGGAGTCATGGATTGTGTCTCAAACTCAGAAGCTAAGGAACAGCCTAAAAGACTTTGAATACTGTTATTTCATGATAAAATCTTATATGTTCAAATTGGAAGATTTTTCCTCCTTCCATTCTCCTTCTAAAACATTTCTCTTCTTTAGGTTTCTCTTGAAACTGTCTGCATGGTTTTATGATGGACAAGTTTTGTCTTCTATTCCTATACAAATATACCTCTACGTAAATGGAAGGACATTACTTACTCCACACTGAGTGGGCTTCAAAGCAATCTTTACCTTTCCCATCTGTCACCTGCTAAGAGTTTAGGCAGAGCAGCTGCTATCTATGATTCAAAGTTAGAAAGGCATAGAGAACTTCTCTGATGCATAGAGTATATCAGGACTGAGCTTTCTCACAAATCAGGTCACAAAAGACATTGTCAGCAAACTATAGGGAAGCACTGGAAAGGTAAATCTCTGAGTAGCTATCATGCAAAACTGATTGTTTAATGTCTTATAGACTTAAACTGTTTTCCAAAAGGCCAAATAAATCAGAGTTTTACTTGGGCACTTGGACAAAAAAGAAGCCCTATTCCTATTTTAGCACCTTGATCTTACTAGTTTATTGGGTTTGTTTTTGGTTTTTTGTTGTTGTTTTTTTTTTTTTCGTACTGGGGATCGAACTCGGGTCCTTGCACTTGTGAGGCAGGCGGTGGAACCACTGAGCTAAATCCTCAGCGTGATCTTATTAGTTTATAGACTGATAATATCCCTATTTGTAGATCATTTGAGTATTGATTGCTATACATAGGCATCCAACTGGTTGATTATTGATCAAGAAGACAGGGATGTTTATTTAATAATAAGCATGCCATGATCTAGCTCCTTGGCTTTTTCCTTGCAACCTTGTCCAATAATCTCTCAGGGATCTCATTTCTTAATTTATGGTAATCTTCTTTCTCATTTGCAACATGAAAGTACTCATTGTTAAGATCCTACATTTGAAAGGTGCTATGTAACTCCCTAGTGTTCTTAAATGTCCTTAATTGCAGTACTGGGATGAAAAATTTAACCATAATAGTATTTCTAAGTAATATGCTTCAGTCTTTCTTCCACACTTTCATTGCTGACTTTTGCTTGGATAGCTTGGAGCACTTTGGTAATGTTCTTCTATTTGTTCCAACAATGTCCTTGGAAAGAGACAGAATGGAAATCATTTATCCTGTAGTAGAGCTGGAAAAACTAGGGGTAAGAAAGAGATGAAGTGCTGTCCAAAAGCACATAGATGTGCTCACAGTTACAGTGTCTAGTGCACAATGGCTTGACTTCCTAGTAGTGGAATTACCATGGAACAGCTTAGAACACTGATAACAATTAAGATAGGATCATGTTCCAAAAGAGTCCAACTTTGTCCAAAATATTAAATTATGCAATCTATGCAACTCTTATTGTTTTTTGCAACTCTTTATTTTTTAATTCGTATGTGCCTCTTTTTCCCATTAGCCTTGTGTGATAAATTTCCCACTATATGGCATTGGCCAGTGTCGTAATCTCCTGTAGCACCAGTAAAGCCCAATCTCAGAGCTCTTTTTGCCAGTAAAACAATGTGCTTCCCCAAGTTTCTGCCAAATTGCACAAACTCAACACATTTAACAGAGATTTAAGTATAGTCATAGCAAGTATGAATATCCATTATTGTATTTTAGACCTGAAATGTAACAAGGACCCAATACACAAGAATATCCCTTTCACATTACATTATACATATTTATGTATATTCACATGCATGTGCACATGCACAGCCTGGTATGGTATGTATGTATGTAATCCCTGCACTCTGGAAGGCTGAGGCAGGAGGATCTCAAGTTCAAACCCAATCTGGGCAAATAGTGAGACCTTATCTCAAAAAAAAAAAACACAAAAACTGGAGATGTAGCTCAGTGTGAAGGCCCTGAGCTCAAACCTCAGCACTGCAAAAAAGAATCCCTCATATGTACATGCACACACACTTCTCAAGCATCTCTCCAAGAGAGCTGCCTGATCACAAGCAGCAAATACTTTAAGGAGTGACTTTCTGTCCTTTCTTTTGAAAAGAAGTTCAACAGTCATAGCAATTGAAAAAGGTTTTCTTCATACATTTTAAAACTTCTGCTATCAAAGTGGCTAAGAGACTCAGTTGATATAAAAGACATGTTCTGTGCAGAGGCACAGAAAGCATCTAACAAGATCATTAGACCCACAAGTCCTATGTTCTCAGAAAATTCATGAGCTCCATTTAATCAGTAGGAAATGGTTGATAAGGTATGGTACATCTGCATTTTCTTTAATCATAGTTGTAATGTGCCATATTAAATTATAACCATCTGCATGTGGCTGTTATGTAATATAATAATTACTGGGTAGCTTCTAAAAGCATGTAGCCCATGAACTTGCTGACTTCCCCAAAAGGATCAGGGCTGTGTCCTGCACAGTATTTAAAATTATTAAATGTTTTCTTTGGAACAGCCTGGTACACAGCCATCAGCAGAATGAGTTAAAACAAATAATAGATTCTTAGTAGGAAATAGTATTAAAAGAAAAGAAACAATAAGATAAGATGTGTTCAGAGAATAATTGCTTTCACCTTGCTGGCTAAATCACTGAAGGAACACAGCAGGAAAGCTGGGACTGGGTCTTGATAATATATGAAATGTACTGGAGGGCAAGAAAAAGAAAAGCACTGAGAGCCTCGGCAGTTAAATTCAAGTTGCCAATTTGCTACAAATCATTTTTTCCATCAATCTGCTCAAAAGTGACTGTATATAGTATTCATAAAACCATGTGACTTGCTGCAGGAATATTGACAAATGCTGGCCAGCTTTATCTTCCTAGGTCCTTTATTAAAAGTGTGTACATAAAATTGTTGTTTATTTTCTATATTGTGGTTTTGTTAAACAATGTTAGTAAAGCCTAAATTTTTGACCACTATGATGGAAGTTTCTGTACCTCTCATTTCACAGGGGTATAGTGGGATTTATTCACTCCCAGGGTTTTGGTATGTGTGATATTTAAACTCTGTAACAGCTCATCTTCTGAACATCCCCTTCTACGTGTTCAGTATTTCTTTCTTGTGTTCCTACATGAGTATGAGTTGGAAAATAAACAGTAATGGCTTTTAGGTAGAAAACTGACCAGCCTAACGGTACTATGTCATTTTTAGTCTCTACTCAGCCTCCAACATTTTCTGCTATTGTGGTAAGCAAAAAGAAAAAGGAATTTTCTTTATATATTTAAGAGTGATGTGACCTCTGGTTTTACTTTTTCCCCATACCAAAAACTGTTTATTATTCTCCAGATGCATGTCACCTGAAAAAAGAATACATTAGTCCTGAGAAAATAACATAGTAGCCTACTTGCTCCTGAATCATACATTACCCTCAGAAAAATATTTGAAGAAACCCTTATTAACTAAGCCTCCAGTAAGTATTTCCTCAAGAGATGCACCATTTGCACAAAAAGTCTTTTAAAGGCAGAATGCCAGAAGTCATTCAAAATTTAGATAATTGAAAACTGAAGTTTTAGGAGTCACTATCTGTCTAAGTAATAATGAAGTACCTGAATCACTTGGGAAAGGCCCAACCCATAAAGGTCAGGCTTCATACCAAACCAGAAAGAAGTCTTTTTATTCCAATTAAGCTTATATAAAAATATTTACTTTGTCCTAGGTAAAGACTTCAAATATCTCTGCTGAAAATTCCATTTTATGTATTACAATTCACCAGTTACAAACATCTTGAATTCTCATCACAAACACAATGTAAAAAATGCTATCACACTAGAAAAAAAAACAATTTATTTCTAGACAAAAAAGGCATTAAAAAACTTTATATAAGGATCTTATTTAAGGTTACCAAGAAAATTTAAGGCATAGATATTAAAAGGAAACTTCAGTTTATAGATATAGATATAATAAGGATATGTGTATAAAGCTTTACACAGGAACAGGTAAACATATTGAAATTAATTTTTTCATGTTATAAGAAACAGAAGTTTTCAAATCTTTTCACCATATGCAGTAACATTGAAAAACTAGTTGGTTTATCATTGCATATTAAAATATTCATTCTCATATTAGGGTTGTCTAGAGGAATAGAATCAATAGAAAATATACACATAATTATGCAAGGGGATTTAGCAGGTAAGCTTACAGGATGACAGGCAGAAGAATTCACAGTGGATCTGCACACTGGAAAGCCAGAGGATTCAGTTGCTGCTCAGCCCAAGAAGATGGAAGCTATAGAACAAGAGGGATTGACAATGCAGGACCAGTCCAAAGTCAAATTCCTGGAAGCTCACTGTAGAATCACCAGTGCAAATATGTGTTAGAAGGCTGAAGAAACTGGAAACCAATGTCCAAAGGTGGTGGTGAAGATTGAAGCTCATGCTAAACAGGACATTTCTTCTTTTCCATTTTTTTCCATCCAGACTACAAGCCTATTGTTTGATGCCACCCATATCTGGGGTGGGTTTTTTCCCCTCATTTTAGTTGCCTACATATAAATCATCCACAGACAAAGAACTGTGTTTTGCTAATCTTGTAGATGATTCTTACTCAAGGCAAATTGACATATCACAATTAATGATCACATGGTAGCATGTTTCAATGTTTACCAACTAACTCTAGAGGGGTGGAGAATTTATGGTAGGAAAAAAGTACATTTAAGCCAACTTTTTTAAAGAAAATATTTGAATATATTTATGCTTTTGAAAGACATTTTCCACATAAATCTTATCTGAAATACTCTAATCAATTTTATAAATTAGCAACATTTTGGAATCATATCCTGATAATACTGGGAAACTAAATTAAATTTAGCTTTAGAATGTAAGAATTTCAATAAAAATAAAACACAATTCATTGAGAAAGGAAAACTTTTACTATTGGAACATTAAAGAATGGAGGTTACCAGTAAGTAAAAAATTATCATTAAGTTACACTTACCAATCTAACCTCCTATCATACATAAATTACAGTGGACCCTCGAGTTACAGCCGGCCTCACAAATGAACAACTTGTGTTACAACTGGAATTTTAGTTTTAATTTATGACCAAAGTCTTGAGTGACAACCAGAATGCCGGTTGAGACCTAGTGAGCCAGAAGTAGGTCCTAGTGGGCTACAGACTCTCCCAAGGGTAGAAAGGACACCAGAGAGCTAGATTCCTGATGTTCTTATGGAAGAGGACTCTCCTTCCAAACAATAAGCACCTCCTATTTCATCTTCCCTTCTGCAAGCCAAAGATGTCAGCTTGAATGGTGAGTACAGTATGAAATTGTTGCTTCTGGTAAACTAGGCACATTTTATAACTTTTTGGTAAATACACTAGGAAAATTATTGTTGTTTCTAGTAAATTACACACATTATACAACCTTTTTACTATGAAAATGTCAGTTAAGGGGTGCTTTGGGAGGTTTGGAATGCATTATGCATATTTCCATTATTATGGGAAAAATACTCTTGACTTACAACCAACTTGCGATACAAATGAATGAGTTCATTAGTCAAGGGTTTGTACTACAGACTCACTGGGATAAAAATAGCATGGTACTGGCAAAAAAAAAAAAAAAAAAAACAGACCTGCAGATCAAGGGAACAGATTAGAAGATGCAGAAAAAACTCCAGGCACACTCAGCTACCATATCTTTGACAAAGGGTCCAAATAACTTCACTGGAAAAACGATAGCCTCTTTAATAAATGGTTCTGGAAAAGCTGGCTTTCTACATGCTGAAGATTAAACCTAGACCCATGTCTCTCACCATGCACTTCACTAATAGAAATGAATCAGGAAGACGCCGAGTCACCCCGCTGCAGACAGACAGGTCTGCCCATGACCTGCCGAGGTCCTGAGTCACACAGAGAAAGCCGAATCAGCCCGCTGCACACAGGAAGGTCTGTGCACGCCCTACCGAGGTCCTTAGTCGCTCAGAAGACACCGAATCACCCCTCTGCTGACAGGCAGCCACCTGGTTCCGCACTACAAAGATGCAGAGGACACCAGACCACCGGACCAAGGTACTGAGTCCCGCTGTTCCCAGCCCAGAGGTAGGGGCTTCTGAGCCATCGTCCCACTGCTCCGAGTCCAGAGGAAGGGACTTCCCGGTCACCATCCCTCCCGCTGCTCCCAGCCCAGAGGAAAGAGCTATTGGGCCACCTTCTGTCTTGCTGTTCCTGGCCCAGAGGAAGGGGCTTCCAGGCCACCATCCCTCCCACCGCGCCCGGCCCAAAGGGAGGGTCTTCTGAGCCACCATCCCACTGCTCCTGGTCCAGAAGAAGGGGCTTCCCAGCCACCATCCCTCCCGCTGCTCCCAGCCCACAGGAAAGGGTTAGGGTTAGGTTTCTATGTAAATGGATGCACACTGAGACCATACTGTTAAGTGAAATAAATCAGACATACATGTTTAAATATCACATTATTTCTTTGGTGTGAGAAATTGAAAGGGTAAATAAAGATCAAAATGTATAATAGATATTGAGAAATAGGAAGAACATGTTCAAATGGAAAGGGGACAAGGGAGGGGACGGGAAGGAAGGAAAGGAAAAGAAAAAAGATAATAGAAGAAAAATGGACACAGTTTTTGTAAATAAGGAAGAGAAGAGTTGAACAGAGGGGAGGGGATTGGAGAAAAATGAATCAAGGTATATTATGTACAGGAACAAATGCCCTACGATGAATGTGATCATTATGTATATCTAAACTATGCCAATAAAATAAATTTTAAAAACATTAATTCCATAGTGGTGGTATGAGTTGTAAGTGTCCACAGACACTTTCTTCAGCAAAAGAACCATAATTGATGAAAATTATTTTTAAAACAACCATTTGAAATCTTCAAAAAAAATTTAACAGCATGCAGCAAATGAAGAAACAATGATTCCAGAAAATCTACTAAATCCCATTATGAACAGTGAGAATCTACAGCATTTGAATCAGCCTGATCCCTCCATTTGTACCACCTTCACCTGCTCAACAGGATCCAACTTCCACCTCTTGTGAGTGGAGCAAGGAACACAGAGCTACCTCTACCCTGAAATTACCAATGAGGTTTTAGTATCTGCTCTGGAGAGGGAGGCCACCAACATTTCCCACCCTGCAATTCCATGTGCCAGAAGCTCTACATAGGCAAATGTGACTTAGAATTTAGGAACTCTTCACTCATCAGCCCATAACTGTGGGATAAAAATTAAGCAAGGCAGGCTGAGAATATCAGTGCCCCCATCACCCTCACAAAAGCCTGCCCATTTATCAGAGGCTGTATACCAGAAGAATCAAGCTGAGAAGTCCAGTCTACCATCCTCAACTGGCCCTCTTCTCATGAAGCAGGGCTTTCACCCAAGAGAAAGAAGCAGGCTATTTCCCTTGTCAACAGTTCTGAAGCAGTGGCCAGGTGTTTTTGCACAAGGCAAGAGGCAGAACATATTGCTCACGGGAGGAGAATTTATTGGGAGCACAGTACAGAGAAATTCAAACCTAAGGGTGCTCTTCAGAGCAATAGAGATTTTGATCATTAGCAATTAAGAGTCTATAGCTCCATTACTGCAACAAGCTATAAAACATAAACCAGCTAGATGTTTAACAGGGTAAATATGGGAAAAAGACTTCAGAAAAGCCCTCATGAGGTAGAAACAAACCTCAAATGCTGGCTTGAAAAAGTAGTGCTAGGATGAGAACAAAGTTTAGTAGTAGAATGCATGCTTAGCAAGTATGAGGTCCTGGGTCCAAGACCCAGTATCTCCCCCATCCCCGTGCTAAATGTATCATAGTCAGCCAGCAATTAGGAGAGGCTATTGGTTAGGTATTAAAGAGATTAGGGAAAGAGACAATAAAGAGCTTTGCTAAAACTAAAACATCTTGAGATTTCAACATCACTAATCAAAGAAGGAGAAGAGAGACTCTGGATAACACAGGTATTCTGAAAGGGAGGAGGCAATCACACCCAGGCACAGAAAATTAATCTGAAAGATGAATCCTCTAGATTAAACCAAATATCTGTGTTGTTGGGGAAAGAAAACGGGACTGCTTCTGGTCCACACTTTCCCACATGCCTTTTATTCAGCAAATACGCCATCTTTGGAGTAGCATCAATAGCCTGAGGGAAGGAAACAGTGCTGCAGAATACAGACTCCTAGGAT